ATGACGTTTTTTTATATACAAAAAGCCCCTGGTTCTCAGAACTCCTCTTACATTTTATACAGTAGCCTAATCATCTTTTGGAATATGATTGGTGGTGTCCTGTAAATGTGCAACAAGGTTTCGAAATTCTCATTTTCACTCTGGGGGTCAAATGGGGGGGGGGGGGCAAAACATGACGTTTAAAGTCTTATAAGTCAAAGATTTCATGAGTTATGGTCTGATTGTCTTTTTTCTTAATTTGACCTTAAATGAAAAAAAGGGTCCAGGTAAAAAAAAATGATGCAGCAAATCTTGTGTCAGTGTCTTCTATCCATGTATGTTCCAAATTTCAATTGATAATGTCAAAGGATTATCAGATTATGCCCTGAATTATATTTTCATGTAAAAGATTGACCTTGACTTTATAAATGAGTCCAGGTAAAAAATTTTGTTGGCATGTACCCTTTCTCCATACCACCTCTCCATGTTCCAAGATTGAAGTTTTAATGTCAAAGGGTTCTAAGTAATGGTTTGGAGGTGTTTTTTTCTCAATTTGACCTTGAATGAAGAAAGGAGTCAAGGTCAAAATTTTGGTGCAGTGCATCTTGTGTAGATGTCTTCTTTCTATGTTACAAGTTTGAAATCCTAATGTCAAAGGGTTCTCAGGTTATAGCCTGGACTATATTTTGATGTAAAGATTGATCTTGACCTTATCAAAAGGACAAGGTCAAAAACATTTAATGGCTTTAATCCCACCTCCATACCACCTCTCTATGTTCCAAGTTTGAAGTCTTAATGTTAAAGGGTTGCCGAGTTACGGCTAGGACAAAATTTGATTGAAGAAGAAAACTGACAAAAACAATATGTAGACTAGTATAGTCTACTTGTAGCATCAAAACTGTAGAAGGAGTAAAATTTTGAAAGAAGAACAATTTTTTTTCTACATTATGTAATGAAACTTTTTCTTGCCCAGTGGTTCTTGAGAAGAAGATTTTTGAAGATTTTTATCTTATACAGTAAAGTATGCTTCTAGCCAACATGCTTAAAATAATAAATTGAGGCTTACAGCGAAGCAAATTTCATTCCTCATGACTTTAAAATATATTGTAAACTTAATAGATATGAAAAATTACACTTATAACGAAACAAAATCGTCCGTCCCAGGCACTTAGTTATAAGAGTGTTTTACTATACATTCCCATATTTACAAAACTTTGATCCCCTATTGTGGATCCCCCTACCATTGAAGGTCATGATTTGGACAAAGTTGAATCTACACTTATTAATGAAGTTTCACATAATTTTAAACTTTTCTGGCCCAGTGGTTCTTGCAAAGAAGATTTTTGAAATACCATTAAATTTTCACTCATTCTTATCCCTTAAAAGAGGGTTTGACCCTTCTATTTGTGAACAGTTGTTTTACACAAGAAAAAAAATATTTAACATGAGAAATAAAATTCTTTGTGTTTCTAAATATTTCAACACACCTCTAGTGTGTTTCTTGTTATTAAATTACCTAAGATAATGATGATTTAGTCCTGACTGTTTAATTTTGTACGGCCTATGTATGATAATTATACCCTGAGGGGTATGTTTACCTGTCTTCAACAAGTCAGGTGATTATTCACAGTGAGTACTTTTCAACAATTTAGTTTATATCTGCCTACTCAAAACATGAGGACTGTCGAGTTTTTTTAATTCTAATGGACATAAGCCACAAACTTGCATGATCTTGAAAAATAGGAGTTTCATGTGAAATTTGTAACAAACCACGAGAAAAGAATTTTGGCTGTGTCTTTTTGTAATTAGATGTAGATGCTGATCAAAGACAAGATAGTGAGTAAACTTATTTTTTATATTTTTGGAAGAGATATTATTCTAGCTGCAGTATGAGTAAATTAGTGTAAAGTCAATCAACTTAAAAAACTTCACTTATAATTCCATTTCAATTTTTGGCCCAAATAAATGTCAGAGAGAGAGAGAGAGAGAGAGAGAGAGAGAGAGAGAGATTACCCCAAGTATATAATCTATATATAATGCAAAATTTAATAAACTTTGATTGCAAATGCTCAGAAGGAGATACATTATCTAAAAAGCTTTTTTTTCATTTGTTGTTTTCAGAACAGCTCAAAGCTGAAAATTTAAAATTTATACCATATCAACATAATGTGAGTTATATCCATGTTAATAAAACTGCACATTTTTGGAAAAAAGTATGATTAAATAGCTTAATCAAGGTGTTTTGAATAGTAAAATCAAGTTATACTGTATAATTCAACTACAGAGTTTAAGAGATTGTGCAATACCTTTTTAATCCTTAACTATTCTAAAAATATTTGTATCACCATTCCTGATTCAAGGGAGAGCTAGGCTTATGATCAAAAAAGTCCATAATCTATTGAATTAATAAACATGTATGTTGTCACTTGTGAGGTCAGTAAAATGAAGATGACAAGTGGAAAATGGGGTTAATAATCACAAACTGTAGGATGATCAAGTTTTCAACATTTATTATTTTGCCCATGCAGACATAACTCCTCCCCCCTTTTTCCCCTTGAATCCCAGCCCCGGATCGTTCATATATACAAACCAATATCTTGTTCTGACATAAATAAATTGTGAATATACAAAATTGTACATGTACACAAAGTACATGTACACAAAAATTGTGAGTCTCTGAATGATTTTCAATTCTAATTATAGGAGGGTGGGCTGACCCTAGGGGGTCAAGAATGAAATGTCAGATTATCATTGACACACTTTTGACACAGGTCCCTATTGTGATCATTTCCACGGTTTCAGGGGTGGGGATGACTTCCAGGGGGTCATAACCTAAATATATCAATTGATGCATAATTAAACAAGGAAAAAATATTATGCATGCTTAAGGGGAGAAGTTTTCAACCATTTTCGAGATATATATATATATATATATATATATATATATATATATATATATATATATATATATATATATATATATATATATATATATATATATATGATCATTTGTGAAATTTCAGGGGTGGGGATGACTTCTGGGGTCATGACCCCATATACTATTTAATGTGTCATAATACAAACTAAGATGACTTAGGGGCTTTTGATTTAATGAAAGCTATTTGATTTTTTTCCAGATCCAGAGAGTAGGAATGACCCCAGGGACTTGCTTCAATGCATGTGGCATCCAATGAACTTTGACCCTTTTCAAACTGTAGGCCCCTTACCCTTTGCACTCCAGCTTATTTTACCCCGTTCTATACAGGTCTGAACCTTAAATATATAATCATAATGTACTTACCGCCTGTTCTAGGTACTGTTAACTTCATAATATAATCCATTTAAAACACATTAAGAATCATAAGAATTCCTACCGGTAATAATATACAGTTATTGACTGGGTATGAGGGCAACATATGATTTGTTGGACCAAGGGCAACATTTTCACCTTCAGGTCCAACAAATCATATGTTGCCCGTATCCCAGTCTTTAACTGTTTTGTCATACCCTTCACTTCAGATAGAACAATTAAAATGAAAACATTTGAACAGATTTAATCAATATATTATCAATTACTTTCTTTGGAAAATTTTTGCTTGATCAATAAAAATAAAACAATAGCAGAGAAAGAAAATATTAAAAAATAAGATTATTATATTACAAAAATTATTTATCACAAAACATATACACTGCCCGTATCTGTCTTTCAAATAGCATACGACAACTCTTGCAGCTCTAAACTTCGGCTATTTCCGTGTCGCCGATATTGATCGACGATTAATTACTTGTGACGTACCAGTGACATTGCGGTCTAACAATTCTTATGTTGGACTGGCAAGCCGGTCAACAATGAAATTGTTAGACCGATGCAATAAACATTTCTTTTGTTGGACTTTTTATTATTAATAAATATATAGAAAGATATTTATAAGGGTATAACAATGATGTATGTATACCATGTGCAACCAAATTATGATAACGGTAAAAGTAGTGCTCTAGTGTGACGTAATTCAAATGCCAGACGCAGAAATTTTCCAAAAAGGTGTAATGTATAAAATTTATATCAGAATTACATACGATATATTTTTTTTTTACATAACACTGGGTTATCTATTCCAAATATGACAGGAAAACAGACGAATTGTGGGTGGCAGGGTTGATTTTTAAAGTACATGTAGTTGATCGGGCGTGGGTTTGGAAAAAGTATTTTTCCGACCCATACACTGAAAAAAAAAATATGCACAATTCGATCATTTCCCAAAGTGGTCATTTTGGCATTTAAATTTTAAAATTTAGCAAAAATGCTATGCACATATTTGTTGTTTTGACAATAGATTCAACAAATTCCATTTATGAGCCAAAGATCCCCCCCCCCCACCCACCCCATTTAAAAAAAAAACAAAAACAAAAAATCTTCTCTCAAATATTCTCTGTTAAACAGAATTTACATCATTAAATTCTGTAATACCTGACTGGTAATGAATTTGGTATATGGTCACATGTTAACCTGAGCATTTTATGCTTGATTTAAATTATAGAATAGTGTGGACTCTTCCCTGGTTATCCAGTTATGAACGAGAGTGCATTTAGAGACAAACACCTTAGTGCGGGTATTACTGTCTTATGACAGCATCTATTTTTATGTTAAGAACAAAAATGAACCCCTCCCTAGCAGTCTGAAATCTGGGGTATATTTGCTTTTGAAAATTATTTATTAAAGTTAAGTTCAAGGCTCAAAAAACTGACACATGGAACGGATATCAACCTCATGACCTTAAAAAGTTTAATTGAAAACGGTCAGCAGTGTACCTATGTTATCATTCTTAGATAAGAAAACGGTCAGCAGGCAGTGTTCCTATCATAGCATTTATATGTACATTTAAAGGATGCAACTTGACAAGAGGGCTTGCAGTTGGAAAATATTATTTTCTATTACAAAAGGGTAGAGTTTCAGCAATGAAGTTTTTAGATTATTATTCATATCTATTACTCATTATTTAAGTTTGTTAGTATCCATAAAAATGGAAGAGAGTGAGAAAGCCTTCATATTTTGAATAGCCATTAATGTCATATAGACCAAAACTATGATTTCTTTATCATTAATGTACAATGTCTAGACAACGAACTGGAAAGGTTTGATAAAACTTTGTATTACCAACCTTATTCCAGGAATTAAAAGCTTGGATACTGGATGAGATGTAAGTAAATAATTTTTATTATTTTCTTTGCATTTTATTTAAAACTCTCGTCAAGTTAAAAAATGTACACTTTTTTGCCATTTAATTTTAAAAGTACAAAACCCTTCATCACTCTTTAGCACGGAAGAAAAAATGATAACACGAAGAATATTCGGTGTTAATAATTTTACAAAAAGTTCTTTGAAAAGAAAAAAAGAAAAAAAAAGTTTTTACGTGAATTAACGAAGATAGACTCTTTATTATTAGATAAAATGTTAAAGTTGCACATCTCCCTTGCACAGCAAAATGACTATTTATCAGATTGTTCACTTCTTAAGGTTGAGCTTGACTATAGAGTCGAAATATTCTTAACTTTACTAACACATTCTAAGGACACAATTTTCTATTTTTTTTTTTCAGAGAAAGAAAGAAAACTGAAGATGAACCATGCAAAGAAACGATTGCAGGCAATTCGCCAACAACTGATACAAATGAATGAAGATTATAGATATGCTGTAGATGCTGTAGATGAAACCGTAATATTTACGGAAACTGAAGCCAGCTCAGGCAATAAGAATGAAAATGCGCACGAGGTAAGATTTTTCTCTTAAAAAGGTTATCTTCTACTGATTCAACTTATATATATATATATATATATATATATATATATATATATATATATATATATATATATATATATATATATATATATATATATATATATATATATATATATATATATATATAAAATACCTCTATTAAGAATACTCAAATTTGATTGGCTTGTTAGAAGGCTTTTTAACTCAATAATGACTCCAAAAAGTACCGTTTACGGCAATAATGACCTAGGAATCATTGCACTTGGATATAATGACCAAGTAATTATGAATAATGACCGATAAAAATGACCTGTTAATCTAAATTCTATTCAAATTGAAAATTTATGCATACAGTAATGATTGTTCATTACAAAAAATGCCGTTATAAAAATATGTATAATCTTTTTATGATAAGGAATACGATTAACCTTTAGATGTGTTATAAAAATTTATCGTTTTCATTGAAACTTTCGTTACAATGTCAAATTCAACGAATGCAGACTCGGCTCTTTTGTACTGTAAAAGTCTGCACCAGATTGTCATTGTACTCGGGAATGGTATTTATGAGTTTATAAAAATGCATTTTACTTACAATCACAGAGTGTTTTAATAAATCGGCGGTGCAAAAACTTGCAGGCGAAAAGTAAACAACTTGACTAGCGAATCCGGATCCCGATGGAACACTGGTAATAAACGTTCGTACATGAAGGTCGAAGGTCTTAATACACAATATTGTTTCTTTTAGTTATTAAGCCTACAAAAATTGTCTTAACATGTATCGGTATGATAAAACAATTGATTACCCCTATTTAAATGTCTTGACCTTAAATAAGTTGTTCAGGTTGATGATCTTGAATCTAGCGTTCTTACATGTATGTCCCAGATTTCATGAGGTAATAAAACTATATCTTCGACCCCCCCCCCCTAAAAAAAAAGAAAAACCGAAATGAGGCACAATAATTATATATATATATATATATATATATATATATATATATATATATATATATATATATATATATATATATATATATATATATATATATATATATATATATATTAGGGATGTCAAAATATTTATTTTCCTTAGTCGATCATTCGATTGCATTATTCGAACGATAGTCGAATATTTGGAACATTTTCTGAAAATAAAATTTTATTTCATACTTCATTGGTACATACTCAGAAACCTTTTTACTAAAATCTGTTTAAAAAGTAACATCAAGATTAATGCAACGTAACGCGTGGATAGCATGACTCTATGAAATAAATTTAGAAACCTAATTCTCCAAAATTTATTATTTCCCCATAAATAGAATTCGTAAATCGGCCTGTACATGCGGTCATTTTTTATTTAGTAAGCATTAAAAAATTGCCAGCCGATATTTTTTTTAAAGCTTATTATGAAATAAAATGGAGGGGGGAGGCTATCAAATTGTCCTCAAACAGTCTAAAATGTAAGCGCATTGTTTTAATAATGATCGATGTATCAAAACAGATTTATTCCTTGCATTTGAGCAAACTTAAAATAACAAAAGATATTTGTCCAATGAATGATTTTACAAACAAAGCCCATTATATTGGTTAATTTATTACAAAAACAACACAGGCAATTACTGACAATTAATTCTCGCAGTAGTGAAGCATTTATAATTGCTGTACTTTCTATACGTACATGGAAAATCTACCGTTTTTTGTTGAGGAAGATTATCGACTGTCTATGAGAAAAGACTGTTTCTTATTTTTTGATGAGAATTCCATCTCATCTATCACTCATTTATTGCATTTATTTAGTTAAAATAATATTCGAATGTCGTTTCATTATTCGATCGTCGGTCCATTTGACTGATAGTCGAATAGTCGACTATTCATTGACATCCCTAATATATATATATATATATATATATATATATATATATATATATATATATATATATATATATATATATATATATATATATATATATATATATATATATATATATATATATATATATATATATATATATATATATATAATGCTGATACAGTGCTAGATACTAGTACAATGTGAACTTAATACTCAGAGAGTGCTAATCCCAGCCAAAAATACTATACAATTTCAACGTTACATAGATTTCTCGTAGCACTGAAGTTGCACTGAAGTATATAATTCAAAGAAATAGGGTTAAAACAGTATAATATTTTCTGCTGGGATTAGCACTATAAGATATCTTTTTAAAGCTAGTATAAATCTGAGAACACAGACTTTAATGTCAGTGCTTCCCCGTAAAGATTTCTCACCTTTCACAACACTGATTAATTCTCAAGAGTGCGTCTCAAATATTTTCTCTGGAGTCTTAAATTTGTTGCACGGACACAAAACTAAATAGAAACTGTTAAATGCGGTAATATCTCCGTAAGATCCTATTAAAATTACGTTTGTTAAGCGTAAAATGCTTTTATATATATATATATATATATATATATATATATATATATATATATATATATATATATATATATATATATATATATATATATATATATTTCTGATATAATTTTTTTACGATTTTTTAATTAGATCGGTGGAGCCGGAGGTTCCAACATTTGCTATTCTCCTGCTATAGACAATCTGGAAAAACAGGTGTCCAGCAGCATAAATATAAATATCGGTGAGGATATAGATTCTTTGGAGGAATATACTACCAATGATGTTGCGGAGATTCCTCTGGCTGAAGAGCTACGATGTGCCATATTTAATATGGAGGACCTGGATGACGTATTTTTTTTTTTTAATTTTTTATTCATTTAATTGGTACCCTTATTTAGAGGACAAAAAACAAAAATAAATATTCTTCTGATTGTCAATATTTTTTGTATTGATATACCTAGTAAGGAAAGAGTGAACGATAGTTCAAACATGCCTTCCCCATGTGTGCAGGTGTATTGACCTGTTTCTTTTCATGAACTTGAAGAAGTGCTTTTATGTATGTAATAACACTATTTGCATTCTGTCACTTCCCAGCCAGTAACCCTTTTCCCAAAAAACTTCACGACTAAGTTTTAAATTTAACAACTCTGTAATTTTATTGTTTAATAAAGATAATATTTTTTACCAAAAGAATATTCACAATTGATTGTAAAATTTTAGAAAGATAAGATTTTTTGTGACCTACTATAATTCAGCTATTTCTTATAGAATTGAAATTTTTGTCCTAGTCGTAAGATATATTGAGAAAAGGTGCACTGGCCTATATTGTTTCATATTTTAAAAGAGTGCAATTTTTGCAGGTAGATGATGTCATAGGTAATGTGATGAACCCTGATGTAGTTGATAAATCGTTTGACTTAGAATTTGTTGAGCAGACTCTTAATTTATCGGTAAGTAGCGCAATAAAAATTTTACTAATAAGGTAGAGTCTCATTGATATGGACTCCCTATGTACGCTAATGTAGAATTCCCATAACATCCATGGAATTCCATAGAAAATTCCAAGGAATTTCTTAAAGAAAATCCAAAACAATTCTATGGAATTCGGGGACGAAACATTTTGTTAGAGAGTTGCTGAATTACAAATTGGAGTCGAAAGCATTTGGTTAATCCGAAATAGAAAATTGAGGAAATATTTCAAAATTCACGTATTTTTAGGAAATTGTACGGGAAAAAAATCATAATTCCCTAAGAAAACTATAAAAAAAAATCAAGCAAACAAAGAAAAATACATTTTCCAAAATTAATTTACACTGTATTATTATTTTTTTCAAACTTCAATATTTTCTTTTTAAATTTGAGATGAGATTTGCAAACAGCCATACACGTAAGTAACAGTTTCAAGTATTCTAACAAAGTATTGTACATAAAAACTATAAACAATCTTTTAAAATCAACAGAATTTTATCAGCTTCACGACTAGCAAGCTGGACCTTATTTTTATTAACCTGAATGAATTTCTCATACAATTGCAATGGTTAATCTTCCAAGCATTACGGTTAAGTTACTATTTAAAAGTGTTTTTTTTTTTTAAATTTAAGAATACTTTGGATCCAACAACAACTATTGTAAAACAGTATTATATGTCACATAGAATATATATATATATATATATATATATATATATATATATATATATATATATATATATATATATATATATATATATATATATATATATATATATATATATATATATATATATATATATATATATATATACATGTTCAGGTATATTATCTTTTCTCCGAAGGAGAGGGGTACATATATAATGTTTTTTGTTTACTGCATGTATAAGCTTGATCACTGTTTGTTATCTTTACTTTTACCTTTAACCTTTCTCTCTCTGGATAATCCTTCTTGCCAATGACCTTAAATTGGTATTTTATTTCCAAAGAATAGCTCCACCACTGATGAGCGCAGCTATACTCCTGCACAAAATAAAGGTGCAAATCCTTTATTAGGAAATAGTACTCAGAATTTAAGGACTATCAAGGAGGAAGAAAAATGGAGAAAAGACCGGGAAAAGAAGGACAATCACAATATAAGTAAGTATAATAGATAAAGTGAAAGTGAAAAAGAAAAAGTGAAAGTGAAGTGAAAAATGAAGAAAAAGTGAAAGTGAACTGAAAGTTAAGAAAATAATAGCAGTTGTTACAAGTTGGGAGAATCATAAACGCAGTATGTTTGAGGTTAAGGAATTTATTGATTCATTAATTCTAAATAAACCTTACAATGCCTATTGAACATTTAAAATAAAATTTTCTTAAGTGTTCTTGCTCTTCTTCTTTCAACTACAGTCCCGCTGGGCACGTCTTTACCAGAGATATTAATACAGTTGAAAACGACGATCAATGATCGATTGATTGTATGTTATTTTAGGTCCCGTTCGAGAATTTTTCACTCATGAAGAGACGTCACCATATACCGGTGAGGAGCTTCAAATTTAGACATTAATTACTCGGCACTCAGGGCCATTGAGCAGTGAGGGTTCTTTATCATGCCAACGCCTACCGTGACACGGGGCCTCGGTTTGTAAGGTCTCAACCGAAGGACCCGCAACTTTCACTTCAAAATGCCGAGCGCATGGCGAAGAAACATTTGCTACCTAATTTTATCGACTTAAGTCTGTCGCTGCCGTGATTCGAACACACCACCTTCCGATCACGGAGCGTGCGCTCTACTGACTGAGCTACCGTGATGCCAAAAACGACGATCTAAAAGCAATCCTCTTAAAAGGTACTAAATACAGGGAGCCCCGATCTTTTGATTGGTAATTAATTGCTATTATTAATTCCTTCGACGATTATGCCAGACGTTGGACTAAATATGAAGGGAAAAAATCTAAAAACGTTGTCAGAATGGAATAAGTGTTTTAGAAACATACTAAAAAATCGTGTTGGAAAGTTAAAAGGCAATATATGAACCATCTCTCCTTCCCGTTTTTAGAAAATCGGAAATGATGAAAGAATTATAAAGATTACCTGGACAATTTGTTATGATTCCAGCAGACAATGATTGTAACAATATCGTCTTTGTTTATAAGACTCATTATACGAGGGTTGATCCAAAAGTTAATGGAATTTCTTTTTAAAATTTTATTGGGACGTATTTAAAGCAAACAAAAGACACATCTATAAAAAAGGGCCATTATACATCAATACTGGAAAATTTCACCACATTCCAATTACCATTAAGGTCACATGAGCTTTTTTAACATGGAAACCAGTAAAATTCGGGGGAGACTTTGACGTAACGTCAAGTTAGGTATGTCACGTTCTAGGAGCATCTCACCCTAGCGTTCAAATCGACTTAGCAATTCTACGAAACACTGCATTCGTTTCTCCATTTTTGCCTTCCAGGAGAGCCTGGGAACAATCTCGCACCCACTTTCTTCTTATTACAATAATTTTTCAAAATACGCTACGTCGTCTCATATGATGATCAGATTTCAGTACCAATGTGAAGCAGAGTGCATCAGCGGTCCACGTCCATTAACGCTCTCAATTTGTCTACGAGGAAAGAATGATCTTCCAAAAGGCGGCTAGACTTTTCATCATCATCGGAAGTTCTATTTTCCTTAAAATTATTACGTCACTTGAAAACTAGTTTGTAACTGTACTTTTGTTCTGCTTGTATCATTAATATATGCGTTCCAAGATTTTCACAAAACTTATTAACTGACCGAATTTCGACGCTGTCTAACTATGTTTTGATGATCAACTAATCATTGATATATAAACTAAATATCCAGTAAAATCGAAAAAAAATTCACAAATAGGTTTATAAGAGTTCAAGTAATCGTAATTATGAAATCATTTTCATTTTTTGTGACACGTAGCGCATCTTTTTCCACAGTGAGTATCAAGAGTTGAAGGAGTAATGAACAAATAAATGTTCAAACATCCGTTTCCATTGCAACTGCCAAAGTGTTACTCTCATGAATTTTTAAAATATTTTTTATTAGGAAAATTCAACAAGCGTATATATTTTCACCTGTTATTTTCAATCATCTCCATTAAAAAACAAAATATAAAGAAATTCCACGAACTTTTAGATCAACCCTCGTAATAACTTTATTTCAGAAGAACTTGGTATAAATTCTACGTCTGGATATCCAACTTAATCTCACAATTCACTTCTGAAGATAGAGTACTTCAAAATCACATTTCCGTCTTAAATACTTTTAGCAATCCAGTCAACCAAGGTGACTTCGATCTACCTTACCTATGCAGAATTCCTAAACTTCATAAAATCCTTACAAGGATATATTACCGTGTCCAGCAGATGCTCTACCAAGCTCTCATCATTACTTCTCAGAAAAATACTAACCTCATCTTCAGACGTTTTATATTAGCATATTATAGGCTACAAAGGGCTTCTTTGAAAAACTATTTAAAGGAATTTTGTATTGATCTAGATTAAGATTACAAATGGTAAATCAGCAATTCAATATTTCATTTTCTTTGTAATCAAAGTCCACGATTTATGAACTGATACGTTATTAAAGCTCTTCATGAGAGATTTTTATTCAGATGATGTAGCCAGAGTTTTGGTCCATTATGTAACTCCACTGTAAAAGAAAATATTCTTTTTAATAAAACTAAAGTGTAACAATCCATTTCTCAACAAATCAATCTTGAGTAACATGGCTCTTACCTTTTATGAGTACAATGCACTCCGTACGCATTTTGTTACAATATTTCAACTATAGGTATCAAAAACTCAAATATCTTTTTCGCAAGAATCGTTGAAGTTGAAACGTAAGTGAAAGTTTCATTTTATAGTGTGAATTCAAGTTTGTTCAAATCATGACTCACGACGGCAGGGTGGGACCGTAATAGGCGATCAATGTTTTTCATAGGAACATATACGAAGAAATCTTCTCAAGAACAGCAAAGTTATGATAAGGCTTTTTAGCTCACCTGAGCCGAAGGCTCAAGTGAGCTTTTCTGATCACATTTTGTCCGTCGTCCGTCCGTCCGTCTGTCCGTCTGTCTGTCTGTCTGTCCGTCCGTCTGTAAACTTTTCACATTTTTGACTTCTTCTCAAGAACCACTGGGCCAATTTTGACCAAACTTGGTACAAAGCATCCATGGGTAAAGGGGAATTTAAATTGTTAAAATGAAGGGCCAGGTTCCCTCACAAGGGGAGATAATCAAGAGAAGACAAAAATAGGGTGGGGTCATTAAAAAATCTTCTTCTCAAGAACCACAGGGCCAGTAAAGCTGAAACTTATATGGAAGCATCCTTGGGTAGTGTAGATTCTAAATTGTTCAAATCATGACCCCCGGGGGTAGGGCGGGGCCACAATGTGGAATCAATGTTTTACATAGAAATATATAGGAACAATCTTTAAAAATCTTCTTCTCAAGAACCACTGGGCCAGAAAAGCTGAAACTTATGTGGAAGCATCCTGGGGTAGCGTAGATTCTAAATTGTAAAAATCATGGCCCCCGGGGGTAGGGCGGGGCCACAATAGGGAATCAGAGTTTTACGTTGAAATATATAGACAAAATCTTTGAAAATCTTCTTCTTAAGAACCACTGGGCCAGAAAAGCTGAAACTTATGTGGAAGCATTCTTGGGTAGTGTAGATTCTAAATTGTAAAAATCATGGCCCCCGGGGGTAGGGCGGGGCCACAATAGGGAATCAAAGTTTTACATTGAAATATATAGGCAAAATCTTTGAAAATCTTCTTTTTAAGAACCACTGGGCCAGAAAATCTGAAACTTATGTGGAAGCATCCTTGGGTAGTGAAGATTCTAAATTGTTCAAATCATAGCCCCTGGGGATAGGGTGGGGCCACAATAGGGAATCAAAGTTTTACATTGAAATATATAGGCAAAATCTTTGAAAATCTTCTTCTTAAGAACCACTGGGCCAAAAAAGCTGAAACTTATGTGGAAGCATCCTTGGGTATTGTTGATTCTAAATTGTTCAAATCATAGCCCCCAGGGGTAGGGCGGGGCCGCAATAAATATTACAAAGGGGAGGTCTTGTGAAGAACAGCAGGGCAAAAGTAACTCAGGTGAGCGTTGTGGCCCATGGGCCTCTTGTTTTTATATAGAAGCATCCTCAGGTATTGTGAATTCAATTTTGTTCAAATCATGACTCACAGGCGTAGGATGAGGTAAAGTGGGCGATAAAAGATTTACATAGGAATAAAAATCTTCTTCACAAGAAAAACAATGCCATGAATAGTCATATGAAATGTAATGAAAGTAATGAAAGTAATGAAATTTGTTCAAATCATGACCCTTGGAAGTAAGTGGGACCACTATGGGCCATCAAGGTTTTACGTTTGAATGTATAGGAAATTTTTTTTTAAAATTTACTTTTCACGATCAGCAAGCCATAGTTAGTCAAATTTATATGGAAGCAATCTCAGAAAGTGTAGATTAAGTTTTGTTCAAACCATGGCCAGAATAACCTAAAATCACAAATTTGTGTGTGTGTGTGTGTGTGTGTGTGTGTGTTTTAACTGGTTCTTGGGGATCAAATTTCTTGATTGAAGAAGTGTTTATTTGTTATATATTTCGAGGGAGACAGGAATTCGAGGGTGTCTTCATACCTCGAAAACAACACCCCCCCCTTCCGACACACACACACACACACACACACACACACACGCGAAAATGAGTTATTTCACAGTACTTAACGAGGCCCAACCTACTCGTTTTAACGCAGCTTTGTTTCAGACGCGTCATAGTACCCTTGATTGCCGTCACAATTGAATACAATAACGTCACAGTTAAAGTGCGCTAAAATATTTTGCTGTTCTTGCATACCTGGTTGGTCTTGATTGTGGATGTTGAAAGCTCTTACATCCTGGCATTTTTATAAATTCTTTTGTTTTAATAAATAAATGTTTTAATTAAAAGAAACTTTGTTATATAATTTAATTTTGAGATATTCTGAATTTCTAATAATTTATAAGTTTTATCTAATCTTATTTTGATTTTTGGATTGAAAAACTACTTCAACCAAAAGTAAACACATGAAGTCTTTCTCCATGTAAATGTTTATTTACCAGTTTTGTTATTAA